ACCTTAATATTCTCTTGAAGTTTCAGCAAGTTCAATATGGCAAAAATTACTGACATGAACAGTAGAAGAGATACAACTATTTTTGTTGATACAACTACATATCTCAAAACACTTAAGAACCTCTAGTAAAAAGCCTACTAGAATTAAAAGATAGTTTGACTTTTTTTCTATATTAACAGTAAGTTTTTGAATATGGAAAAAGGAAAATATTCCACTTACAATAGTGACAAGAATTATAAAATACTTGAGAATAAACTTAAAAAGAAAGGCACAGAAACTATATGAAGAAAATTGTAAGGTCTTATTGAAAAGCATAAAATAAGAGATGAAGAAATAGAAAGCCATGCCATATTACTGGATAGGGAAATTTACTATTATAAAAATGCCAGTTCTTTCAAAGATAATATATAAGCTTAATTCAATTCCAAATAGAATCCAACAGGAAATTATCAGGAGAAACTGGATTAACTGAGCTTAACATTTATTATAAAAATCTTTAATTGGATTCCTATTTTATACTACATGCAAAAGTATAATTCAAATTAATTAAAGATTTAGATGAAAAATATAACAATCTTTGAAGAAATTATACATATTGTCCAGAAGTGAGAAGAACCATGTTACACAAGGAAGGAAATTCAGGAGATGTAAATGAAAAATTGTACATGTTTGACAAAAGTTTAAAACATTTCACATGACAAAAGATATAAAAGTTAGAAACAACAAATTAGAAAAATGCTGTTACAAACTAACATGAAAAAAAGAAAGCCCAAAGAAAATGAGTTTCAGCTTTGCCCAAGAAAAAAGATCAAAGAATATAACTAAGTCATAGTACATTACCAATAAATATGCAAAAATATGCCCTCTGCAAGTCAGGGGAATGCAAATTAAAGGACTATTGAGAAATCACTTTACACCCACCAGACCAGCAAAAATTTAAAAGAGCAATAACACCTATAGTCAGTAAGGATGAAAAGAAAAGGTTACTCTCATATAGAAATGGTAGAAATATGATTTGACAACAAACATTTTAAAATTAAAACATACATATTGTTTGAATCAGCAATTCCATTCTCAGGAAGCTATTCCAAGATGTATGGACAAGGATGTTTTTCACAGTATTGTGTATCTATGTAAAAATCTAAACATAGAGTTGTTAATTATGAATGAATTACAGTTAACCCCTGAAAAACATGAGTTTGAACTGTGTGGATTTGTACACGTATTTTTTTCATTTTTCCTAAATATGCACTACAGCACCACACGTCCACAATTGGTTGAATGCTCAGATATGGAAGAAGGCTGGCTGTAAAGTTAGCTGCAGACTTTTGACTGCATGGAGTCAGTACCCCTAACCCCTGTGTTGTTCAAGGATCAATTGTAATTCTGGAAAAATAGCTGAATAATTTTTGATACGTTCACATCATGGGATATTCTTAAGCTACTATATATAATCAGATAAGACCTAAACCTGCTGACTTATAAGGATTTACAAAGGATAAAGAACACAGAGAAGTGTACAAAATGCAATCCATTTTTAAAAAAAGTTAAAACCCCTGAATAGGTATATGACTACACACACACACACACACACACACATACACACACACGAAAAACATAAAACTATGCATACCGAAGAGTTAATGTGTTATCTAATGGATCGGTTAAGAGGTGGCTGGAGAAATGGAGGGAAGGGGAGAAACAAGAGAAAAAGAGTGACAACTCTAAAATCACTGGTATAGGAGTTGTGCTTCAATTCATTAAAATTTATATGCAATTTACATGAGTGTATGTGTTTTTTCTGAGAAATTAAGAAAAATTAAAAGATGTTTCTCTACTGACTTGTAGAGATATCCATGATATATAGTCAAAAGACAGTTTAGAATAATGTATATATTGTTGTTACTGTAATCATCTAATTACTTAGTCATGTGTTACTGTCATCATCTAACATTACTGTCATCATCTAATCACTTGGTCTCTCTCTTTTATGACCCCATGGACTGTAGCCTGCGAGGCTCCCCTATCCATGGGATTCTCCAGGCAAGAATACTGGAGTGGGTGCCATGCCCTCCTCCAAGGGATCTTCCCAACCTAGAAATCAGACCTGAGTCTTTTACATCTCCTGCACTGGCAGGCGGATCCTTTACCACTGAGCCACCAGGGAAGGCCCAATGTAAATATTATTCATGTATTTCTGTAAAAGAACACTCAACTCATCCCATCTAAGTGTTTGCACAAGCAAGGAAAACGTTTTATAGAATGCAATACACTAGTTGGTTAGCATTGAGTATTTCTGGAGTCCAAACTGGGATTGGGGATGGACATGGGGATAATTAGCTGCTTATTTACACATCTTTCTGTGTTTTATTTCTTGAAAAATTGAAAACAAATAAACAAACAGAGCCAAATGTAGATAGGGGTCAGAGTGAAGCAGGCTTAGTGGGGCCTGTAGTGAAGCAGAATGCACAATTAAATACATTCAGACTGAAATTTTGAAAAATAACACAAAAACCACTTTTTTGAGAGAGAGAAAAGACATAGATGAAGGCATAATCCAATTTAACTTTTTTTGTGTATACAGTTTAGGAAAAACAGTCCTTGCATCACACAGACTTTCTGTAACTGACAGGGAAATCACACATACCTTATTTTTATCTATACTCCAATGGGGCTTCCCTGGTGGCTCAGATGGTAAAGAATCTGCCTGCAATGTGGGAGACCTGGGTTTGACCCTTGGGTTGGGAAGATCCCCTGGAGGAGGGCATGGCAGCCCACTCCAGTATTCCTGCCTGGAGAATCCCAAGGACAGAGGAGCCTGATGAGCCACAGTCCATGGTGTCCAAACAGTCAGACACAACTAGATGACTAAGCATAGCACAGCACATACTCCAATCACAGGATCCATAACAAGGTGCAAAGAAGAATGCAGAAAGCTTCCAGAATGATTCTATTCTTTGAGGCTAGATTATGGACTATTAGGAGAATTAAGGACATACTATCACAGAAATACAGCATCATCACAGACAGAACATTTTGATGCAAATTGTAGCAATATTTTTTGCATCTATCTCCTGAAGCAAAGCAAATAAAAGCAAAAATAAACAAATTGGACCAGTTAAAAGGAAACTAATGACAAATTGAAAAGACAACCTACTGAATGCAAGAAAATATTTGCAAACGATATGGTCAACAGGGGTTAATATCAAAAGTATGTAAACATCTCATACACTCAACATCAAAAAAACAAACAACCCAGTTAAAAAATAGAAAAACTGAATAGATATTTTTCCAAGGAGAACATTCAGATGGCCAACAGGCACATGAAACATTGCTCAACATTCTTAATCATCAGAGAAATGTAAATTAAAACCACAATGAGATTATCACCTCACACCTGTCAGAATGGCTACCATCAAAAAGAATACAAATAACAAATGCTGGTGAGAATGTGGAGAAAAGGAAACCTTCATACACTGTTGATGGGAACACAATTGGTGCAGCCACTGTGGAAAACAGTAAAGAAGTTTCTCAAAAAACTAAAGATAGAACTATCATATGACCCAGCAATTTCACTCATGGGTATATAAATATCTGAAAAAAACAAAAACATGGTTCAAAAAATACATACACCCCAATGTTCATAGCAACATTATTTACAATTGCCAAGATATGGAAGTAACCTAAGTGTCCACCAACAGGTGAATAGATAAAGATGATGTGGTACGTACACACACACACACACACACACACACACACACAGTGGAATACTACTTAGCCATAAAAAGAATTAAATTTTGCCATGTGCAACAACATGGATGGACTTGAAGGGTATTATGCAAAATGAAATAAGTCAGAGAAAGACAAGACTGTATGACACCACTTCTATGTATAATATAAAAAATATAACAAATAGCGAATATAACAAAAAAGAAACATTCACAGATATAGAGAGAGCAGGAGGGAATTAAGAGGTACAAATTATTATGTATAAAATAAATTATGAGGATATATCATACAACACAGGGAGTATAGCCAATATTTTATAATAACTATAAATAGAGAATAACCTTAAAAATTGTGAATCACCAAACAGTATACCTGTAACTTACATAATATTGTAAACCAACTATACTTCAATTAAAAATTAAAAATAAAAATACTGACAAAGAAAGAAATACAGTATCCTGACTTAAGAAAGGACCATGGAGAATGCCTAATCCAACTTTATCACTCTACGGTGAGGAATCTGAGGCCAGGTTAAGCAACTCACATCCCCTGCATTTGCAGAAAATTATTTTATCTCAGAATTTTTACTCAGAACAAATAAATGATACTATGATATTTTATTAGTTCAATAAATAAACGTTCTCCTATTTTACATGTAAAAAACCAAACCTCAACTGTTGTATTAAACAACTGAAAAGAAAGGCACATAACCTGTTTAAGTTGTCTTGTGTAAGCCTGTAAAGACACCAGTTAAAAACCACAAGGTCAGATCTCAATCGTTCACTCACCCATTCTTTTTATTCAACCAACGGTCTGTAGCCCTGACGCTGGGAGGTACTGGTGATACGTTAACAAGGCACCATTCAGTCCTTGTTCACCATCTGGGGCGGGGGAGTGACAAGCTATGAAACACATCGGCCCAAGTGCGGCTGGGACTATCTGTTCTGACTGGAGTCTCAGGGGCACGTCATCAAGCAGAACTGACAGGAGTCGGGCCATGCAGGGTGTAGGAGACCAGATGCAAAGGCAAGGACAGTTATATATGTTTGAGGAAATAATTTAAATTGAGCCCAATTCAAGAAAAGACCAAGGAGAAAACCAGAAATTCAAATGTTCCAGCCTGCAAGATAAAAAGTAAATTCCATCCAAGTGTGAGAGACTTTGTCAGCCCGACTTCTACACGCTTGACAGGTGGAAGACATTCAGTAAACAGCATCTGGCCAAGGAGGCAAGCTCTCTGTTCAAGCTACTGAGCGGCGTCAGCACATTACCATGTACTGTCCAGGGTCCAAGTCTCCCATCATGCCTTTCAGGTGTGCGTTTTCAGTCCTGACAGCTCTGTACCTCGTATCTGACATCTGAAAGGAGATTAGTAGTTAAAAGTGAGTGTAAAATTCGTCATAAGAGCCCACAATTCTATGAAAATTAACTTTGCTTTGTTAATATAAATATTTTCCAAGAGTGGCAAAGGGAGACACTTAGTTAGGCAGGCTTGTCATACATTGGGTATTCTCGTTCAGTTCTCTGATCTTTGGCAGGCCCCACTGGACCCTCCTTTCCTGATTGCTGCCAAATTAAAAACAAACTATATGATTGATTACCCTTTCCCATTCCCAAATTCCATTTCTCACTTCTATTTTTTTATGGTATGCAAATTACCACCAGAAAAAAAAATCACAATTTTAAAAACATGCTTGAATAACACTGTCCATTAAGTTTCTTCATTACCTGATTAATTTTTACAACATGCAAAAATGATTTCATGTTTAGTTTTGTTCTTCCTGATACTCCTACCAAATTTCCTTCTTTTTTGTGACTACTTAATTTTGTCTCCTAATTTATTTTCTCCCTAATTTCTTCTACTTGACAGTACTTAAACACAGCATCTGCCCTTATTTATCTAGGGTTCATTTCTACATAAAGCACTTTCTTTAAAAAGATTTACTTTTGTAAATTACAAAATATATTCTCTTTGACAAAGTAAAAATAAAGAAGAGTATAAAGGTTAAAATAAAAACCATTCATAATCCAACTACCTAGATCACTGTTAACACCTGTAAAATATCATTTCCTATACAGTGCAGCCAATGCTATCATCCCATCTATGTACTTTTCCTGTGTATTTTACAGGTTAATCACAGTTTAAGGCTTATAATAGGGCAAAGCCAGACTCTTTTCTTATTTGTACAATACAGAGGATTTAAATAGCCCTGTTACTGACTTTCTGCATGGACTGTAGCCCACCAGGTTCCTCTGTCCATGGAATTCTCCAGGCAAGAATACTAGAGTGGGTTGCCATTCCCTTCTCCAGGGGATCTTCCCTACCCAGGGATCAAACCTGGGTCTCTCGCATTGCAGGCAGATTCTTTACCATCTGAGCAACCAGGGAAGCCCCTTTAACTGTCATAGATCTAGAAAATTATTGAATGGTGCTCTCAAAACTATACTTGGGGTAATAATGCAGAGAAACCCTACACTTTCAGTAGCAGGTCACCAATTTGGCAATGAGTACAGGATTGAGGTGGTGAAGGAAATGGCAACCCACTCCAGTATTCTTGCCTGGAGAATCCCATGGACAGAGGAGCCTAGTGGGCTACGGTGCACGGGGTCGCAAAGAGTAGGACACGACTAAGTGACTAAACCACCACCACCACCACAGGATTGAGGGAATTTCAAAATAAATAGGAGGGGAAGGAAGAAGGAAGGGAAGACTTAGAAGTCACTTGCAGTATATGAACAGTAGAATGTTATAATCACTATTTTTTCCCATGAACCATGCTATGCATTAAGTGAATATTCAGTGCATATGAGCTAATCTTCATTTTCAATATCCACTTTTCAAAATTGTAAAATAAAGATATGAAATGGGAGTGAGAAGTGTCCACGAAAAGCTAGAGTAAAAGCTCTTCTTAAGTTAAAAATGTTAATTGATGAGAACTAAGGAAAGCAAATTCAGGAAGCAATCTGTGACCACTGCATGCTGACGATGTTGGGGGTGATCAGAATATGGGTCACAGGAAAATGTCAGCATGAGATTTACAGAAATTATCTTGTGCTGTCACTTGCTTCCCTGGTTTTTGGTTGATGACACTGCGTTATCTCACCAAGGTGTTATGTGACTCCACAAAGCATTTCTGTGCTGTTAGACTCAGAAACCGTAGAAGAAATAGAACGCTTTCAGTAATTAATAAGGAAGGTGACTCCCTGCATTAAGCAAGAGTGACCTGGACAGGCGCTCCAGCCCCTTGCATACCTGTTGTTTCGATAGCATTTTCTCTTTTATCTCTAACTCCATTTTTAACTGTCTTTCCAGAAGGGCAGCTTTCTTCATGACAGTTGCTATAGTGATCTCCTTCTGATGAAGCTCCTGTGTCAGGTCAGAGATTTCATTCCTCATTCTTTCCTGCTCAGAGCTGTGGTACTCTTCCTCCTGATAGAGATGACTTCTTATCTGCAGCAGATATTTTCCAGAAAACAGCAACAAATCCTTCAGAAGGCAGCTGAAAGGGTTCACTGGCCATGTGCTGTCTTTCTATCCTATCTTAAAACGTAGGCAGACTGCACCTTACCCTCCTTTTCTGATCAATGCTGAATTTACTTTTTCCTTCCACTTTCAAAATTTCTTTTTCACTTCTACTTCCTATTGTATGTAAGTCATCACCAACTACTGATACCACTTCGATGACTACTTTGACGGGAAGATGGGGAATGTATTATCTAGCACTTTCCCCCCAGCTTCACTGACGCATACTTGGTATATGAAAAGCTGCACAGAGTTCAAGGATAAAATCTGGTGAGTTTGGACACAGACATAATAATCATTACAGCGGCCTTTACAAGTTTCTCTGTGTCCCTTTGTGGCTTTATGAATAATTGTGTGTGGGCAGTAAGAACACTTAAGCTCTGCCTTCCTAACGAAGCTTTACCCACACAACACGGTCCCGCCGACTGTGGCACTGTGCTGCGCAGCAGGTGTGGAACATATGTGTCTTGTATGACTTACTTTACACCCACTAAACCACCACTCTGGGTTTGGTGCCATGGAAGGGTGCTGGACCCACCACCCAGAGACTGACGAACCAGTTTTTAGGGAGGAAAAAGTTGGCTCAGAGAAGGGACTTGCTCAAAGTCATAAAGCTATTAACCTGGAAGAATGAGGTATAGAGCTTAGGACTGTTGGCTCTAAATTCTGTGCTTTTTTTTGGACTAAATTGTGCTGTACTATTTGTGACTGAACACTGTGTCTTTCAGAATCATGTTATAATAAATTTCAAACTTCATGTGTTCACGAAAAAGCATCACCCACTTATCTTAGCCTGTGGAATCTCATATTCTTAACACTCGCTAAACCTCCCATGGTAGAAACCGCTGGATCACCCTGGACTCCTCCCCTCCTTCATCCTCCCAAATCAAGTCAGGTAGGAAATCATGTCCTCCTGTTTCAGCCTCTCCTAAGTCCTGCCTCTGGCTCTCATTCCTACTACCTCTGTCTTAGTTCAGCTTCCTCTCATCTTCCTAGAAATCATTTGCATGCCTGTGGACCACAGCCCACCAGGCTCCTCTGTCCATGGAATTTCCCAGGCAAGAATAGCAGAGCGGGTTGCCATTTCCTTCTCCAGGGGGTCTTCCGGACCCAGGGATCAAATCCATGTCTCTTGCGTCTCCTGCATTGCAGGCAGGTTCTTTACCACTGAGCCATCTCGGAGGCCCTTAGAAATCACTCACCGTTTCTAATTCACTATCTCTGATTCGTGACGTTCTGAGATAAAGTACATAATTACTGCTTTCAAAAAAAGAAAATCGGCCCATCAGGGGAAGCAGGAAAATAAACACTTACAACGGGGTGCAGCACCAGTACCAGCGGCATGTGGTGGAGCAGGGCTGACTCCAGCCCTCGGGTGTCAGGACAGGGTTCCCTGGGACTGACACGGAGGGGTGAGCGGAAGCCCAAGGGAAGAGAGAGATGGGGACGGGCCCCCAGGCAGCGACTGCAGCCAGGAGAGGCGTCAGAGGTGGCGGGGGTGGGGTGGGAGTGCTCAGTGAGCCAGAAGCAGCCTGACGAGGCTGGGGCTCAGTGCGCTGTGAGAAGGAAGGTGGAGGTCAAGCAAGGGCCATGCACAAAGAGATTTATATGAATTCACACCAGGGAACTTACTTCAAAAACTTTTTTTCATTTCATCTTTAAAAATTTCAAGACATAATCTCTAAAAGATTAAGAGTCTGCTCTCTCTTCAAACATACCCAGAATAATGTCTTAAAAATATTAACAATTCCTCAATATCATATAATACCCAGGCAGTATCAAATTTATATTTGCATCAGAGGTGTGATGAATGTTGTTGACTGTATTTGTTTGAGTTGAGATCTAAATGTGGTGCGCACATGGAGACCAGCTCCTCTATTTTAAAGCCTCTCTTTGCTCCTGCGTGCACGTGTGTGTCCTCTAAATGCTCTACATACGTCATCTTCCTTAATCCCCACAAGCTCTGCTTTCCAGATTAGATAGAAAATTAAGATATGTGACTGTTCCTAAGTCACATTGCTGGTACCGGGCAGTCTGATTACACTGTGCCAAGTCACCTGTCCGGGCAGAGCCCTGGAATGTGGTCCCCACACTGAGAACAAGCCAGAGAGGGATGCCCTAACATGGAAAGTGCTCAGGTCAGGAAGGCAGGTGGTCCAGCCTCAGGCTTCATACCACCACCCTCTCACCTGGATCTAGTCTTTACACTAACATTTTTAGAATTTCAGAGTTGGATGTAACCTTAGCAATCACATGGTCTAACCCCATCACTTAAAAAAATAAATGGAAAAAAAAAAGACTCTCAGGGAAGGAACTGGCTGGGTCTAAATTACCCAGTTTTAACAGCAGAAGCAGAGACTAGGAGGCTGGAGTACAAGCACGATCACCCCAGAACAGTATCACACATCTCCTTTGTCTCCCATCTCCCCTCTCCAATTTTTTTCCTTACAATTTATCTGATGAACACTGGGGTTGTTCTATAATACGTCTCAATTTAGATTTTATGATTGCATCCCCGTGATGTAGAATACACAGAACAACTATACAAAAGAGATCTTCATGACCCAGATAACCACAATGGTGTGATCACTCATCTAGAGTCAGACATCCTGGAATGTGAAGTCAACTGGGCCTTAGGAAGCATCACTATGAACAAAGCTAGTGGAGGTGATGGAATTCCAGTTGAGCTATTTCAAATCCTAAAAGATGATGCTGTTAAAATGCTGCACTCAATATGGCAGCAAATATGGAAAACTCAGTAGTGGTCACAGGACTTGAAAAGGTCAGTTTTCATTCCAATCCCAAAGAAAGGCAATGCCAAAGAATGCTCAAACTACTGCACAATTGCACTCATCTCACACGCTAGCAAAGTAATGCTCAAAATTCTTCAAGCAAGGCTTCAGTAGTACGTGAACAGTGAACTTCCAGATATTCAAGCTGGATTTAGAAAAGGCAGAGGAACCAGAGATCAAATTGCCAACATCCATTGGATCATCAAAAAAGTTAGAGAGTTACAGAAAAACATTTACTTCTGCTTTATTGACCATGCCAAAGCCTTTGACTATGTGGATCATAACAAACTGTGGAAAATTCTTCAAGATATGGGAATACCAGACCACCTGACCTGCCTCCTGAGAAATCTGTATGTAGGCCAGGAAGCAACAGTTAGAACTGGACATGGAACAACAGACTGGTTTCAAATTGGTAAAGGAGTACGTTAAGGCTGTATGCTGTCACCCTGTTTATTTAACTTATATGCAGAGCACGGCATATGAAATGTCAGGTAGGATGAAGCACAAGCTGGAATCAAGATTGCCAGGAGAAATATCAATAACCTCAGATACACAGATGACATCACCTTTATGGCAGAAAGTGAAGAAGAACTAAAGAGCCTCTTGATAAAAGAGAATGAGGAGAGTGAAAAAGTTGGCTTAAAACTCAACATTCAGAAAACTAAAAAAAAAACCCCCAAACTAAGATTATGGTATCTGGTCCCATCACTTCATGGCAAATAGATGGGGAAACAGTGGAAACAGTGACATACTTTATTTTTTGGGCTCCAGATCACTGCAGATGGTGACTGCAGCCATGAAATTAAAAGACGCTTACTTCTTGGAAGAAAAGCTATGACCAACCTAGACAGCATATTAAAAAGCAGAGACATTACTTTGCTGACAAAGGTTGATCTAGTCAAAGCTACAGTTTTTCCAGTAGTCATGTATGGATGTGAGAGTTGGACTATAAAGAAAGCTGAGCACTGAAGAACTGATGCTTTTGAATTGTGGTGTTAGAAGACTCTTCAGAGTCCCCTGGACTGCAAGGAGATCCAACCAGTCCATCCTAAAGGAAATTAGTCCTGAATATTCACTGGAAGGACTGATGTTGAAGCTGAAACTCCAATACTCTGACTACCTGATGTGAAGAACTGACTCATTGGAAAAGACCCTGATGCAGGGAAAGACTGAAGGCAGGAGGAGAAGGGGACGACAGAGGATGAAACAGTTAGATGGCATCACTGACTCCATGGAAATGAGTTTGAGCAAGCTCCGGGAGATGGTGATGGACAGGGAAGCCTGGCATACTGCATTCCATGGGGTCACAAAGAGTCGGACATGACTGAGTGAATGAACTGAACTGATGTAGCTTAACATGTTCTCTTAAAACAGTACTTCTAAGATGTGGGAAAAAATGAATATACTATCATGAAGAAGGAGTAAGTTTTTTTTTTTACTATTTTCACAACATTTAGATATTAAAGCATGCTATACTTCAAAACTATTTAAATGAGCTTAATTTATCTAGCTCTAAATGACTTTTGGCTTTATTAAAAATGTCAATTTTATCACAAAATTAGTGACTAAAAATCATTCTATATTGAAAAAAGAAAAATAAAATACTTGCAAGATTCATAATATATGGCTCTTGTTGGTTTTATTACAGAATGAAAATGCTCTCTCCAAACACTTCCTGGAAACTATAGCTATTTATACACAATTTATTTGCTAGCTTTTCTGCACAGCAATGCGTCATCTAGAGGCCTCCCAGAGCCTGTGCAGAGATTTGTGTCTGGCATTCTCTCCCTCCATATCAAAACTAGGCAGAACCAGTAGATTCCGTCTATCACTAAGCTGTATTCTCTACCTAAATCTATAAGGTTAAGAACAGTATAACTATAGTTTGGGAGGCTTTAATCAACCTTTTATCATAAGGTATTCACTGGGGTCTCCAGTAAAGAATAGTTTAACAAATTATATTTTAAAATATCAGTAAAATTAGTTCCAGGAGATTATGTGAAAAGCATAAGAAAAATGTTCATTAATTCATAACAACTTTTTCTACACTTAATAGTGTAGTCAATTTTTTAGGAGATGGGACTTGTCTTTTACATTATTGTATTTCCTACAGAAATAAGCAGAATAGCACTAGTCCTGAAGTGAAGTGAAAGTCACTCAGTCATGTCTGACTCTTTTTGAGCCCATGGACTACAGTCCATGGAATTCTCCAGGCCAGAATACTGGAGTGGGCAGCCCTTCCCTTCTCCAGGGGATCCTACCATCCCAGGGATGGAACCCAGGTCTCCTGCGTTGCAGGCGGATTCTTTACCAGCTGAGCCACCAGGGATCCTACTAGATACTCAATAAATGTTTGTTGAATTTATACAAATAACAGAATTTATGACCCTATACAATTATGGGAGACCTCAGCATTAATATTGATTTGGTCGCTAAATATTTCTTTTCCCTCATTGTGTTCAGGCACTGTGCTGAGCACTGGATGAATTCAAAGCCATGCCCAGGTTTTTCCTAGTTTTAACAATTGTTTAGACTACACAGTAATGAATATTCTGTGTAATCCTTAAACATAAAGAATAGGGAAGTGAGTAGCAGCCATGATGAACTTATGGGAAAAAAAGCCACTGTGGAATTTTACTAGAGGAAGAAGAGAAGATACTTTTTGTAGGAGAGTTGAAACCCACACGGTCTTCCAGGGCAGTGCCCAGGTCTTATCCATCCTCCTGTTCCCAGCTTCTGGAAAAGTACTCGCCACATGTTTGGTGTAACCAACAGTAACAGCAGCGACCATCTATTAGATGCTTCCCCTGAGCTAGGGAGGCCCTGTTCTAAGCAATTTGCATTGTTTCCTGGATTTTAACTTAAATGAAGAGTATGAACTCTAGAGCCAGACTGCCTGGATTCAGATCTGGCCTCGGCCACTTATTAGCTATAATATTGGTGGAAATTACTGACCTTCTCTGTGGTTTAGTTTCCTCAAATATAAAAGAAGATAGTATTGGTATCTACTTTATCTGATGGGAGGGCTTCCCTGGTAGCTCCGTTGGTAAAGAACCCGCCTGCAATGCAGAAGACCCAAGTTTGATTCCTGCGTTGGGAAGACCCGCTGGAGAAGGAACAGCTACCCACTCCAGTATTCTGGCCTGGAGAATTCCATGGACTGTATAGTCCATGGGCTTGCAAAAAGTCGGACACGACTGAGTGACTTTCACTTTATCAGATGGTTGTGAGGAATATAAGAATCAGGTTTTGCTAAGTCCTTAGAACAGCTTCTGGCACATGGCAAGAACAATTTAATGTTAGTTACTCAGTTGTGTCCAACTCTTTGTAACTCCATGGACTGGGGCTCCCCAGGCTCCTCACTCCATGGAATTCTCCAGGCAAGAATCCTGGAGTGGATAGCCATTCCCTTCTTCAGGTGATCTTCCTGACCCAGGGATCAAACCGGGGTCGCCTGCATTGCAGGCAGATTCTTCACCATCTGAGCCAGCAGGGAAGCCCAAGAGTTGTTTAAGTAGCAGCTAGTATTAGCTCATTTACTCCTCATCACGATCTTCCGAAGTGAACTGAAGCGAAGTCAAAGTCGCTCAGTCATGTCTGACTCTTTGCGACTCCATGGACTATACAGTCCATGGAATTCTCCAGGCCAGAATACTGGAGTGGGTAGCCTTTCCCTTCTCCAGGGGATCTTCCCACCCCAGGAATCGAACGCAGGTCTCCCGCATTGCAGGCGGATTCTTTACCAGCTGAGTGACCTTATGAGGTAGGACTAATTAGCCCAGCCCCTTCCTAGAAACAGGAACTTGAGCAACTGGCACAGGCAACTTCCTCACTTATGCCCCTGGCGTGTGACTGAGTGCCTGGCTGAGCTCTCGTTCTTGCCATCAGCTGCCTTTCAAAGAGCCCGAGGCCCTCCACCTGCTAAGAGCAGCATCCCAGCAGCAGAGTGATGGCCTGAAGTTTGTGTTCCCTATGGCTTCACACTGAGAAGTGGCAGAATTAGCAGCGTGGTAGGTTATTGTCTTAGGAGAAAATACATCAATAGCAGGAGGAAGAAGGGAGTGAGAGGAAAGACTTTTCCCCTTTGCATTCAAAGATTTCAGATCTGCCTGGAAGAACTGAACTCCTTATTTTCCATACCTTGTTCAACTCTTTTCCATGATCTGGTGGATCTGGGGTCACTGAAAACAGCTCTTTCCTTTTTTTTTCTGATTCTTTAATAGATGGTGAATAAGATGATTCAAGTCTACAAATTAAAATGAATAAAAATTAAACCTGATAAATTGTTATGATTACATTGTTAATTTAGGCCTTCGTAGGCTGAGGGATAGATTATTAGTCTGCTGGAGACATTTCTAGTCACACACATGGCAAGTTCTAATACATTCAGGTCCCATGAGTATTTACATATTTAACTGAGTGCAAATAATAGTGTTAGTGAAAATAAAACACAGTAATTAATATGGAATTTCAATTATACATTACAAATTGGCTGAATACTCAATTTGCCTATGTAGATAAGATTTTTGGATGAGAAGAAAAAGACTGTTGCATATAATAAAATAGCTTGGGAGCCAGTTTAAAAAAGGAAATACAACCTGACCTGCTTCTACATTGTGGAAAGGAACTATGTCAGGATATGTCCGAGGGGAGCAACTACTCCATAAAAGTGATCCAAAATGATTAAATCTGACAGCCTACCCAGAGAAAGCTCAAATAGTCTATTCTTCAGTTGCCCAATTTATAAAATGGAATAGCAACCACATATGGGCACTAGAGAAGAAAGGCAGGAACTAGTATGAAAAGTAAAATTTCCACAGGAAATTTGAAGAATTAGAAACAGGTAATGTTCATTTCCACATCAGGGAGATTGGTAAAATAAAAAATCACTGAAACATGAAAAATAAAGATAACCATGCTGCCAAAGAATTAAACAGACATTTCTCTGAAGAAGACATACAGATGGCTAACCAACACATGAAAAGATGCTCAACATCACTCATTATCAGAGAAATGCAAATCAAAACCATAATGAGGTACCATCTCACGCCGGTCAGAATAACTGCTATCCAAAAGTCTACAAACAATAAATGCTGGAGAGGGTGTGGAGGAAAAGGAACCCTCTTACACTTTTGGTGGGAATACAAACTAGTACAGCCACAATGGAGAACAGTGTGGAGATTCCTTAAAAAACTGGAAATAGAACTGCCATATGACCCAGCAATCCCACTGCTGGGCATACACACCGAGGAAACCAGAATTGAAAGAGACACGTGTACCCCAATGTTCATCGCAGCACTGTTTATAATAGGCAGGACATGGAAGCAACCTAGATGTCCATTGGCAGATGAATGGATAAGAAAGCTGCAGTACATATACACAATGGAATATTGCTCAGCTATTAAAAAGAATACATTTGAATCAGTTCTAATGAGGTGGATGAAACTGGAGCCTATTATACAGAGTGAAATAAGTCAGAAAGAAAAACACCAATGCAGTATACTAATGCATATATATGGAATTTAGAAAGATGGTAACGATGACCCTATATGCAAGACAGCAAAAGAGACACAGATGTAAAGAACAGTCTTTTGAACTCTGTGGGAGAAGGCGAGGGTGGGATGATTTGAGAGGGTAGCGCTGAAACGTGTATCTTATCATATGTGAAGTGGATCATAGGTCCAGGTTCGATGCATGAGACAGGGCGCTCAGGGCTGGTGCACTGGGATGCCTCTGGGAGGTGGGATGGGGAGGGAGGTGGGAGGGGGGTTCTGGATGGGGAACACATGTGCGCCCGTGGCTGATTCATGTCAATGTTTGGCAAAAACCACTATAATACTGTAAAGTAATTAGCCTCCAATTAAAATAAATTAATTAATTTTTAAAAAAAAACTTTAAAAAATAAAGATAACCATGCAAGAAACGTAGCATGAATTCCACTATTGCTGGACTAACCTGATAGTGTCTGGGGTTTTGAGGAATGTACCTACCTATAACTGAGCATGATTTTAGATTTCCAAAGAGCCTTTAAAACAGTTCCACAAATCAGAAACTTAAGCCACACATACAAACAAAACAAAATCTGAGAGATGAGAGAAATCATTAATGAAAAGATGGAAAATAAAGGGCTCTTTTAAAATGTATAAATTATACATGTATCCATTCTCTCCCATACTTCCCCTTCCATTCAGGCAGAGTTCCCTGTCCTATACAGTAGGATATTGTTGGCTATCCATTTTAATACAGCAGAGTGTATATGGATACATGTTTATGTATGGCTGAGTCCCTTTCCTGTCCACTATCACGATATTGTTAACTGGCTATACTCCAATATAAAATAAAAAGTTAAAAAAAATAAAAGGTATAAATTAATAGTGATATCCTTGAGGTGCATGTGTCTGGATTAGACTACTTTTTTTCAGTCATCAAGTATACATGTTAACTCTGTAGAAAACAGAGTTTCTCAGAGTATATATACTGCTATAAGTTGTCATCTAGGAAAAACCACTGTCAGCATTTTTGTGTATGCTGTCTTTTTTGTCTATGCATATGTGTAGAAACACATGTTTCCCATACAATTAGCATGTACTGTACACACTACTTTTCAGGCCCCTTTTGTTTCCCCTCAGTAATATATTGTGAGCATTTTATCCAGCATTCCCATAAAACATTATTTTAGGATCAGTCTTAAATTTGTCTTCTTTGCTATGATTTTTAAATGGTGAAAAATGAAATTTCCTATTTTTAATTCTTTCTAAGCAATTCAGGAAGTGGAATGCTGAACTGAATGGTAAAAACCCCATAATGATCTCATAAATTTCAGTGAGTGAGTGGAACAAACATCAAGCTTTGATGTGGACAAGTTCAAGAAGAAAAACAATAATCATGTTAACATAAAGACATAAAGGAACTATCATTTATCATGTAAGAAGGGAATGTAGGAATTGTTTTTAATAACTCTCAGAACATGTCAGCCCAAGATGCTTCTATAAGTAAAGAAAAGAAAAAGCTAACAAAATCTTGGCATTATATGGAGAAAAGTTTTGAAAATAAATAAAAACACTACAATGCTACTGTTATAAAACTATTGTGTGTTTATACTCAGTAGCTTTGGCTGCTTCACCCTAATAAAACTGTAAAAAAGAAACAGAATTCAAACAAAAAAACAATAAAGAGGACAGAATCATGTTCAAATGAAAACAAACTAAAAGGATTAGAAATTTTCAATGGGAAAGATGAAGGCTGAGAAGACTATGCCCAAAGTCTAAAATACAATAGAAGCTGTGAAAAGTTAAATACCTATTTTTCATCGAATCTCAGAATACTAGAACTGAAGACTATCCTCCAAATGAGAAAAATGTAGTTTGGAGACCAAAATATATACCAGCTTAAATAGAAAACGGTAAGCAGGCATAACAGAAGAGTTGTATTGGCCAAATATGCAAACAACTATAAGATTTTAGATTAAGTCATATATTCAAGGAAAGCTGGCCATGTCTGGAATTAAAAATTGACTGCATGAGATAGAGCTCCAGAGTAAATACCTACAATGCTCTTCATAAACCAAAGCTAGACATGGGCTGAATGGTTTGCTCTTCTAGGAAATTTCTTATGTTTTTAGGCATATACATTCCATAAGTGAAGACATTTTTCACCAACTCACCACACTGGAACAGTGTCTTGCACATAATATATTTCCAGTGGATTTATTAATGATCAGTAGTGATGACATATAGCTTGTATATCTGACCACTCTAAAATGCGTACTAGCTAATAGGTGTTCTACCACCCTTGGTTAGATAGATGGACAAGAGGTTACTTTGGGGAATATTAATTTGCTATTTGAAGACCTCAAAGGAATGCTAGCAGGTCCTACAGCTTTGAAAAAATAATGCTTCCCTTGGTGGCTCAGATAGTAAAGAACCCGCCTGCAATGCGGGAGACTCCAGTTCGATCCCTGGGTCAGGAAGATCCCCTGGAGGAGGGCATGGCGACCCACTCCAGCACTCTTGCCTGGAGAATCCCATGGTCAGAGGAGCCTGGTGGGCTAGTCTGTGGGGCCACAAGGAGTTGGACAGGACTGAGCAACTAACACTTTAGAACAATGTGATCATCTTTCAGTAAATGTCCATCATCGTTTGGGTGTTCAGTGTCTGAAGCCCTATCACTAATCTGGCATTACCCTTCAGATGTGAGAAGGACTCAAGGTCTACTCAGAACCAGAACAGCAGGGAAGAGTTAGAACAGTCTTACTCAAAAACATAAACATTTAATAATCCTCAGCAGTGCCATTTCCTTTGTGGTTATACAGTACACAATTCCTGACTTTAAAAGAGGAAAAAACATCTGCCCTAACAAAACTCTTAACGGAACTGACAAGGTGATGAGTTTGGAGGCCAAAATAAATAAAACATTTATGAGTGAAAAGTTAAGGCTTAAGGCCATCAACATAAAAACATTTGAAAAACATGTAGTAAATTTTATTATAAACACTGATAATTAAATATAAGCTCTATACTGTTGTTCATACAATATTCTGAAGAATAAGTTCTAAGAAAGTCTTTGACTTCATAAGTATCCATAATATCAGAACATGCTATAATTTTCCAGGTAAGTAAAAACATTGATTTTGAAGATAAAATATTCAATAACTTTATTTTTAATATCTAATATTACCTAATAATAGTATTAATAACAATACCTAATATTACCTAATAATTACCTAATACCTAATAATTAATTACCCAATAATTAATAATTTGAAGATAAAATAATCACTAGCTTTATTTTTAATATCTAATATTACCTAATAATTAATACAAAATGGACTTTTAATTCTAATTTCAAACATAAAACTCTTAAAAATATTTAAGCATCATATTTTGAACAGTTCTCAGGTTGCTGAGTATAAGAATATACCTTTTCTTATTTTCTTGAGTACTTTGGGACTCTCCTAGTTTTAACAGTTCTCTGTGCAACTGCAATCGTTCCATTTCTATAATTCTCAAGAGATCATCACGTGACTGTAACTCACTTTTCACTTCTGAGAGTCCTGCTTCCATGGCCTAAATAAAAATATCAAAAAATTTCAATGCTCACATTTGGATATCATGATGTATGCAATACATTTTAAAATATTTAATATCTATGAAGCATCCTAATTTCAAATGATCTGATACCTAGTCCTTTGCTGGCTCAGTCTTACAGAATTTCATTCATTTATTCAACAAATATTTACTGAGCTCTTAACTCTGCTCAGCACTGAGGATACAGACACAGGATCTGTCCTCATGAGCTCACAGTCTAGTGATAAAGACAAAGAATCATCCACATACAGCCATACTATATGAAAAAGGGAAACATAAAAGCATGAGTACCAATGCATAAAATTTGGATTAATGCAAATAATTGTGAATGGCCAAGAAAAACTTAATTTCAAAGCTGGTCAACAAAGTGAATTATAAACTATGGTCTACAGTTCCATTACTGCCCGATAGTAGCCCTACCTTAGCTGGTAAATAGAAACACCAGCAATGCTGTGAGCCCCGTGTTTTATTTGGATAATAACAGAGGCTTGAGCAAGTTTAGAAGCTGTTGGGAAGGATCCAGCTGGGAGAGAAGGGTTAATACTGACGGTGTCATGGTGCTGAGAAGGTGGGCGAGGTGGGTCCCAAAGCACAAGGGAAAGAACTGCCTAGAGGAGGAGAGCCCCGCTGCCCTCTCAACAGGAAAGAAGGAAGACAGAATGGGGACGCACGGACGCATTTGGAAGGCGGGGTAGGAAAGGGGCTATCTGTTGGCTTGTATTGTCCTTGTGAAGGACAAAGGCAATGCCAGTGGAAGGAGAGGTGGATGTGGTGCTTGGGAAGGGAATTTCTGAGAGTGGGGAAGGTTTGAGATGGCCTGCAGTGAATCAGTCATCAAATCCATTGCCATTTTTACAGATGAGTAAATTGAGGGCCAGGCTTGGCCCAAAGTTACACAGCTCATAAGTGGCAGATTCTGCAATGGAAAAATCCAAATCTTTTGTCTACTAGTCCACTTAGAACATTTAAGACTCAAAAATAATTGTTTCATGAAAAATAAGTAAAAGAGGCCTGTAGCTTATTGGTAAAGATGGGGGCAGGGCTGTTCTTAGGGCACTGCTAATAAAGACCATAAAAACACTATTGATATTTTCAGAAAGTCATTTGTTTAACAATTCTTTATACATCAATAACAGATTCATTCGAATATAATCCATATACCATAATATTCACCCACTTAAAGTGTACAGTTCAGTGGATTTGAGCATACTCACAAAGTTGTGCAAGTATCACACAACTTAATTCCAGAGTATTTTCATCACAAACCCATCAGCCACCACGCCTCATTTTCCCTTCCTTCCCACCCCCAGCAACCACTAGTGTATGTTTTGTCTCTATGGAATTACCTATTCTGTACAATTCTGACAAATAGAATCATACACTAGGCGGCCTTTTTGTGACTGGTTTCTTTCTCTTGATATGATGCTTCCAAGGCTCACCCATGTTGCAGCAGGTATCAGTACTTCATTCCTGTTTATTGGCTAATAATACTTAACCGTATAGATATGCCATTTTGTTTACTCATCAGCTGATAAGACATTTGGATATTTCATCTTTTTAGCTATAATGAATAATGCTGTTATGAAATTCATGTATAAGTTTTCATGTGGATATATGTTTTCTTATTAATTCTTACCCAAAATTTCACAGCTTAGAATTATAATTGTGTAGACAGTATAGGACATATGAGGTCCCAGGTATACATTTTTTTAACCAAAGTCTTAAATATAACATATTGTTTTCCAGGAGACCTAGAGATATTCCTAGCCCCAGATATTCCTAGCTGATTTGGAAATAAGTAGGAAAATATGTTCAAATAGATGATTTAATAAAGTTCCTGTCTCAAACAGTGCAAATTTTTCATATGAGATTACAAATCCAAAATAAACAAAAGAAATATGAAACAAGAGATTAGCAAATAGACAAATAAACTTGACGTGAATGTCATGAATTACTTTACTTAATTGAAGAAGGTATTCTCTGGGCTCCCTGCATTGCAGATTTGCCAGCAGGGAGCAATGGAACATGAAACTGCATGTAGAGGAGTGTGCCTGCCTTCCTTGGGGAAGAGGGGTCACAAGAGGGCTCTAACTCCAGACCGGCGAAATGTAGTATCACCATGGGTGAGAATGACAAAAGTTCTGTAAAATCTGAAAATAATGAAGTCTATTTATGTACTGTCATTAGACAATAATACCTAAAAGCATGACATTTGGAGATATTATTAAGAGATAAAAGGCTTATCTGTGATCCAGCTACACAGATAAGAGAAGTTAAAACTGAAACTTACAATAAATAATGATTTGACACGTTTTTCTAACATGTAGGAATATGTGAAAGCTTTTAATTGACAGCATTATGTAAATTTACTATAGAGCATAAGAAAAGAAGCTTTACTGATAATTGATAGATTGAGTTGCTTTTTTGACTTATGTAATATCCTTTTGAATTCAAAGTCAATAGTACTGGGTTGACACAAAAATTGGGGATTTAACTTAGATGCAGTTTAAAATTAGCATGCTTTTGTATAAAAAGTCAAATCAATTATTTGCCAATGTGTATGCAAATATTCAGGAAAATGATTCTTTGGTACTTGATTCAGTTATTGGAACACTGTCAAGTTTATTTGGAACAACTTGTGTGTTTGTATGCAAGTCTAAAATTTTAACTGTAAATTTTATAAAATCTAAATACAGATCAGGTATTCCCGGTGATACTTAATATCCAAACTGAGATGTGCCGCAAGTGTAACATATACACTGGATTTTAAAGGCTAAATATGAAAAGAAATGTAAAATATCTCATTGATAATTTTCTGACATTGATTGTATGTCAAAATGATAACACTTTGGATATGTGTTGTGCTGAATAAAATATATTACTATCATATATTAATTTTACCCATTTCTTATGATGTTTTTTAATGTGGCTACTAGTAAAAGTTTAAATTACATTTGTGTATTATATTTCTAAGGACTGTGTGGCTCTAGTACCTTAATGACACAATAATGAGCAAACAAAAAAGGTTATATTTTTTGGCATAGATATTAGAAAAAATACAGAACAATTTATTTCTGTCACTGACTACCAATAGGAAATATCGCACACTTTCAAAATGTGAGTGTAGTGCAGCACAGAACATAAATATATATAATGGAATAGATGTGTCTGCTGACACATTTCAAGGTTGTAGAAAGACAAGTGAGAAGATGTGATTCTGTGAAAATTCAGATGCAGCTGGTATTAAAGTATGTTGTAAATGAAACAGAATTTTACATACAATAAGTGACAGTAATTCAGACTGAATGGTATGTGCAAGATGTGGAGTACTAACATATGACAGTTTTGCAAAAAGAGACAAGAAACTTCTTTCTAAAAACATGCACTGGTTATAGTGATTATTCACCTCTAATTATTCCCATTTGGTAAAACATAATTTTTGTAAAACAAGTTTAAGGCCCATCTGTTTAGTTATAAAATTTTTAGACATCTTGAAGTTTTTGAAGCAAATTATTTCTCAAAAGTGTTTTCATTAGAACTATAACACTTTCTGGTGTGTGAAACTTAATCCAGCATAGTTTGAATTGCTTTTTTTAAATAAGTGAATCCTTTGTAAAGTATAAAATGGAGATGTTTAAATTTACTAATGCTCCTAGATCCAAGGATAAATAAATTAGTTTTTACAGAACAAAAATCTGTAAAACTAATTTTGGTACACTTTCTCATAGAAATTGGTGGATTATAAATAAATAAATTCCAGTCACAGTAAAATTTATCATTAACTCTGGAAAACATCACATGTACAGTTAGAGAATTACTGGTGAAGTCTATGAGAAAAATAACATTTCAAAATTTAAAACAAAGTTTCTCAGCCTGAGCAAAATTTACATTTGGTCTGCACAATTCTTCATTGTGGGGTTTGTCTTGCGCATTGTGAGACTATTAGCTGATCAGCAGCAAGCCAGACCTGTACCCACCAAATGCCAATAACACCCCTCTTCTCTGCAGTGATGATCAAAAACGCATGCAAGCTCTGCCGAGTGCCGGTGGGCAAGAAAAACCACCTCGCAGAGAGTCACTGATTTAAAGGAGTGTCCACTCCCTGGTGGCTCATGGCGGAGATGGTTAAGAATCTTCCTGCAATGCAGGAGATCTGGGTTCGATCCCTAGGTCAGGAAGATCCCCTGGAGAAGGGAATGGCAACCCACTCCGGTATTCTTGCCTGGAGAATCCTATGGACAGAGGAGCCTGGCAGGCTACAGTCCACGGGATCTCAAAGAGGCAGACACGACTGAGCGACTAACACTTCACTTTCAGAACAATTAGGCAATTAAGATAGTTACATTTATAAACTTCAGTATAAATATCAATCAAAATATTTTATAATTATATTGACTTCTATGAGTAGCTGGGTTTTTATTTTGTTGGTATATATTTAGGAATGTTAATAAGTTAAGTACATTAATAAATGTCTATAAGCAAAAGTCAAAGTGGGTGACATGGACTTTCATTTTTTAAAAACTTTTATTATTGGAATATAATTGCTTTACAATGCTGTGTTAGTTTCTGCTGTATAACAATGTGAATCAGCTACAGGTATACACAGAGCCCCTCCCTCTGGGCCTCTCTCCCACCCAGCCCTCATCCCACCCGCCCAGATCATCACAGCACCAAGCTGAGCTCCCACACAGCAGCTTCCCACCACCCATCCATCTCACACGTGGTGCTGTATATATGGCAGCGCTCCTCTCCCAGTCTGTCCCACCCTCCATTTCCCCTGCAGCGTCCAGGAATTCGTTCTCTGCATCTGTGTCTCTTTTCCTGCTAACGTGGACCTTCCTCAGCCCAGACAACCTACAGAGCCTTCTCAGGAGGACAGGCAAGCCCCCCACTCCAACCCTGAAAGTCTGTAAAGATCTTGGGTGAAGGATGAGTCATATCACGGGTTAGAAGGGTTAATCAATGTGACAGTCGTGCTAAAGGACGGACACCATGGCCTTGGCCATCGGGAGGTTCACGTCCTCTGCCTCCCAGGGATGCATTCACTCTTGGGCTGCACTTTCTCACTTGGCCACAGGAGCCCGAGTGTGACAGGGTGAGCAGCACAGGCTCACGATGCTCACACAGAGAGCAGGGGTTGTGATCTGGACCGGGAATGTTAATTTATTAATGATTCTCAATGCACACACTTCCTCCATTTGCAGCCTTCTTTCTATTAACAAGATTCTCCAGTGTACTTCTTGGAAAAGTATAAAAGATGAAGTTCTGAGAAGGAGAAAAGTGGGGTTGATAAAGGAAAGTATTATAGAGAAAGTCAGTCATGCTGCCATGAAAGGGGAACAGAACCTCTTCCTAGAATACTGGGCAAGAATAGAGGTTTCTATTCCACATGTGAGCCAAGAACCAAAAGCTGAACCTCTGTCTATAAAAGACAATGTTCTTGGGCTGTAATAAGTCCAAACAGAACTCTTTGGGGGGAGATTAAAAGGAATTAATGTTCTTGAAGAATCAGGATCTCACTAAAAGGTAGAACCAAGCTTCATAACAGGAGCTATGGAAGAAATATGTTTCAGGTAAATCAACAAAAACATAACAAAATAGGTCGGAGCAGAAAACAGATTCTTAGGGACCAGAGCCAAAAAGACCTCAAGAAAGGACAAAGAGAAGTCCTTAGTCTGAGCAGGGTAACCTGAAACAAGGGGAGAGTATTCAGGTAATACCCAGAAAAATAATTTCATTTACTGACTGTGACCTGCTGCAGGATTCAACCACTACAAAGACAGCTACAAAGATGTAAATATAAGTTGCCTTTGACGCAGGGCCAGAGGCGTGACCGGTGGCTCCTATCCCAGGAGATGAAGGGGAAGCAGGCCCCGAGGGGAAGGGAAGCCCGGGAGAAGTGAGAACCGGTGAACCGCAAACCCAGCTCCGCCAGCACTGCGGGGCTGAGCCCTAGAGCACAAGAGGAGGTGCTCGTCTCATTCACCTTCTAGAAGCCAGAGAAGGCAGCATCAATGTCTTTTCTGTTTCTAGAAACTGTATGAGGTCCTCAGCATTGAGTATTTGTGGTTTAACTTGGCTTGTTTATCTGCTTTCTCCTGTGCATTCGAATAACAGCCCCTCCTCCAATGAAGCTGGAGTTTGGAGTGGGGAGCTGTACTTCTCTGAGAAATGCCGCAGGGCAGGCGAAGCTGGCAGTCTGTGTTCTGACCCTTTGCCAGCCTGGGGACAGGGGACACAGAAGGTGGATGTAGAGAAAGAAGGGCAAGGATGAGGCCCACGTGTCATCTCACAGACAGCGCGGCAGGAGGGAGGCAGTCGACCCAACACTGAGAAATGGCCCTGGAAGAAGAGCCTGAGGCGGAATACCTTAGAGACACACTCAGGAGGTGACCAGGAGCCCTGATCTCCACCTGGGGGGGAAGAGAGTGGGACTCAGAAGTGGGCTGACACGGAAGAATCGGTAGAAAGAGGCTGAAGGTTTGCAGGGGGGAGGTCTGATGGAGAATGCGAGAGAAAACCATTGAATGTGTCAAGTGACTGGGACAGCCATGAATGTGAAGTACACACTTCGGCAAGAAGCTGGTGATGACCAGTTTTAACGAATGCTACATAACCTTCTTAGTGGTTCCAAGAGAGAGACAACAAAAAAAATGTTTGAGTTAAAAAAATTAATCCTTGGAAAAACCACTGATCATATCTATTAATATGGAGTCACCTCAAAAAACAAAACTCTGGGCTACTATTTAGTAAACCATTATGATAAACCTAACTGTGATAAATCACAGGGAGTGACCCACATGCCTTTCATCGAGGTGATTAGAGGGTCAAACTCTTAATGGTTTCCTGAGAGTCAGAGGCACAGGGTCAGAGAATGGACGTGGGTTCAGAGGCTGTGGACTGGCTAAAGAGCCACGGTGTTTAGGAACAGAGGTCTGTGAGAGACCACTGTCCTACTGCGCTGGTAATTACTACTGCATTGCTGAAGGTCCCAAGAGCACCTCGCGGGGGACAGTAGGCACAGGATCACTAAATTCACTCATCAAGTAAGAATTACTTATCAAGAGGAAATGTGAACTGGATTTACATGTATAATAAAAAAATTAGCTTTCTAATCCATATACCTGTTGAGTCATCATTTGTATAACTCAAGGGCAGTATCAGTTGAAAAATAAATAAATCTTTACCTGGCACTGTCTTTGGTACATTTTCAGTTCTTTTAAGAGCTTCTGATTTTCATCTTGTAACTTATTCCTGCTTAATGCTATTTCACTCACAGCTGATTTTAATTTTTCAATAATGAATTCATCTCTTTCACTGGTTTCACAAGTGGAATCTGGTTCACATATCAACCGAGGAATTTCAGGGCTGCTGTCTTCTATGTCCTGTTTTTTACCATTTAGCTGAGTTTGGTAACTTTGTGCCTGTTTCTGAGAAATTTGAAAACTGTGTCAGTGAAGTGGGGAATGTCTAAGCTTATATGTAAAGTTCAAGAGTGACTGAAAAAATTAGGAAAAAATCTTTAAACATATTATTAGATAATGAAGCTCTGTCCTTCATAATTCAGCCTAGTATTTATTCTAAAACCTCAATTTCAGATGGCATAAAGAGAAGTCATATTTTTATAATCTCAGAGCAAAGATGCAGAGGGCTTTGGGTAGGAAATTCTTATTCAGCAAAAAATAAAATATAGAAGATATGAAAAAGAGGAAAAAAAGTATGGGTTTAATTACACAATAGTTGAAAATGTCTCTATGACCCAAAATAAAAAAATCTGGATTGTAAAAAAAAAGTTGTCAACACATATAACACATGTAATTCCTGAAGTACAAAAACTTCTATACATCGTAAGAAAGGGCAAATAGCACAAAAGAAAAGTGGGCAAAGTCTGTGCACAGGCAATTCACAGAACAGGAAATGAAAAAGGCTAAGAAACACATGAAGAGATGCTCAACCTTACAAGCAGTCAGAGAAACATAAAGCAAATCAAGCCAACATTACTATCAGTTTCTCAAGTTGGTAAAAATCAAAAGACTGATATTCCATGTTGACAAGACAGGAGTAGTCTTTGACTGTTCATGAACTGTACATTGCTATAATTTTTTTTAGAAAATAACCTGCTAATATTGATTAGAAATTTGAATGAACATACCCTTTGGCTCAACAAACATTTCTAAGATTTTTATTTAACAAAATGAGAGTACTGGTATTTAAAGATATTTATACAAGGACATTTGTTACACTACTGTGTAACAGCAGAAAACTGGAAACAACCTGAGTGTTCATTAATAAAGAAATGTTTGAAAGAATTATGGTATATCTACTATATACTATGGTGTATATGATATATATATATATATATCATATACACACACACACATATATAATAAATACTCTGAAATATAATTAAGCAGCGACTGAAAAGGTTATCCATAGCTTATTAAGTAAAAAAGCAAAATTTAAAAAAGAAACATATATAATTTCCATCCAAACAGATTTTCATATGTGTACAAACAAAAGAAAAATTACGTGAAGATAAACACCTAATTGTTTACCTTATTGGTATTAAATGGATAAGAATGGAGTAGAGGATGAGGTTAGCAATTTTGTCAGATTATTTTGTGCTGTTCAGGGAACACGTATAACATATTCAAGTAACTTAAAGAAAGAATGAAAAAGCAGCATATATGAAACAAACAAAACAGCGTCTTGCTGGCGTGAATAAACTCTCCCACTCCCTAGGCAAGCTTTGGGCTGGTTGCCACCTGCGCCGGCCCCCAGGCCCCGTCTCCCGCGCCCTCCACGCGGCGGCCCAGCCCCCTTCAGCGAACTCGCCTTCTGCTCTCGCCTCAGGACTTGGCTCTTGTTATTCCCACTACCCCAATACATCCTCTCCTGTCTGAAAATACCTCCCTTCTTCCCTTTTTCAAGGCCCACGCCGCATTCCACTCCTGCTGGAGGACGTGTCCCGACTGTCTCAGTTCAAAATTTTCCCTTATTCCTGTGACCTCGAAAAGGATTTGAATCCTTTCCATTCTCTTGTCATTAATTATCTGTCGACCTGTACCTGTATTATCTCTGTGTCTAGACTGTAAAGTTCTAGGGGGCAGGGACCAAGCCTTCTTAAACATAAATGACTTGTCATAGGCACGCAAAAACATGCTATTTAAGGACACAGTAACAATGGAGACTTTTAATAGCACCACCTTCTGGGACATATCAGGTCATTAATGATATTTCATGCACTTGTAACTCTACCTAGTGTTGGACCGACTCTGGTTATTTTCCATTGCTTGGCATTTCTGTCTGTAGAAAGATTACATGCTGAATGGTAAAGAGAGTAATAGTGTTTAACCTCTAATTTATTCTAATTTAGTATTAGACAGTATTAGAAAACGTACCTGAAATTGATGACACTTCTCAGATAATATTTTTTGTTGAGCATCTAAAGAAACCAGATGAGTCTGATGCAGTATCTCTTGTTTGTCCCATTCTCTTGACTTTGCTCTGAATTCCTTTAATAGAGAGAGAAATAGAAGCTAAAATAAATGATTCATTTTAAAGCACAATAAATAAGACCTTTCATTTGCACCTTTGTTCTGAGAAAAAGGTATGGAACTTAATCTGCATTTTTTTAAGAAATAAGGATTTTGTTAAAAATTTTTTTCTTGTAACAAATACTGATTATTAATAATGGAGTTTTAAACAACTCTTTGCATCAACCAGTACTTCCTTTTTATTTCCTAAGCGGACACCAGAAGTTTTTCTTCCCTTCTTTATACTCAGTCAGCAAACCTGCTACCTTGTTGGTGAGGGGTGGGGCTTGGGCTAATTTAGTGACTTTGTCCCCTGTGGCTTTCAGGGAAGCCAAGAGCAATCCGTTCTCAAGAATGGAGCCGCCATCTCAGGCCTCCCTTAGGCAGAACCAAGTGGGCTGAGCTGAAAGAAGGGACGCTCAGTTCTTCACGCTTCTGCTCAAGTTGTGTCTTCATGGAGAACGATTATCTGTTCACAGATTTACAAGACAAAAGGATGCGGCTTTGGGGACCCTGAAGAAAACTTCACGGCTTCAGGCTTCCCTGCCTGCAATGTGGGAGAAGAATCTGGTTAAGAATCTGCCTGCAATGTGGGAGACGTGGGTCCAGTCCCTGGGTTGGGAAGATGCCCTGGAGAAGGGAACAGCTGCCCACTCCAGGATTCTTGTCTGGAGAATTCCATGGGCTGTATAGTCCATGGGGTTGCAAAGAGTCAGACACGACTGAGCAACTTCCACTTTTTCTATTTTGCCTGGGGCTGGCCATTATATCTTCTCTTTCTGTCCAGGCTGTAAACAACTTAAGACTAAGTACTACAGATTTCATTACTTTCGTATTGCTTCATTTCTTGAATGTACAAAGAAAAGCACAGTATTAGTATTTCCAGAAATGTAAACAGTTCTCACTAGATTTTTCAGAGAAAATAACATGGCTGGAAACAAACCCTATAGCTACTGAGTCCATATGAGATATTATTGAATGTAGATACATGGCATGAACATATTGATGTTTCCAATCATCAATTCAGCAGTATTAAGCATCTAGTGTCCAGCAGGTACTGTGGAAAGAGGAGGATTTAAAAATAATACGTGCTTAAAAGAAACAAATTTTTCAAAGGAAAAAAAACAAGGACTGAGGGCTTCCCAGGTGACTCAGTGGTAGAGAATCTGCCTGCCGATGCAGGAGACCCCGGAGATGCGGCTTTGATGCCTGGGTCTAGAAGATTCCCTGGAGGAGGGTGCTGGCAACCTACTCCAGTATTCTTGCCTAAAGAACCCCATGGACAGAGAAGCCTGGCGGGCTACAGTCCACGGGGTCACAGAGAGTCAGACACGACTGAGCACACATGCACATAATAAAGTAGGGAAATGTACATGTAAACAAATGATTTTACAGTATTAGTACAATAAAAGTGCCACATTAAAGTCATACAGATGATGCCACGATTATCTCAGCCATCTCCAATAATACATCAAATTGGAAAAAAGTTCATTTGAACTATTTTGAGAGATTGCTGGTGTTTCAAAGATGGCTGAAATGACTGGATTGGCTATCCAGGAAAATAAATATACTAATTTAGAGAATGAAAGCTATATCGTGTTTAAAATGAGAATATGGCATTTCACATTTTCTACAGAGTAATGATTTTAAAGAATTTGGAGTGAAATCTTCATTTTATAAATCCACAAGCTCCCAAATAATCAGTGAGGGAAGACTTCACTACTAAAGTAGTAGGCTTTTATAATAATTAAAAGTGACCTGAAATTGAGCGGTGGTAATAAAGTTGGAGATATATATATAGACTGTTTTAAATGTATAATAATACCCTGATACATAGACTATATTTATTAAGATAAATGGAGACAGTTCATTTAAAGTAACTGACTTTGATTCTGACATTTGACAGTTTTAAATAAGGTACATGAAAACAGGGTCTTCAGAAATAGTGACAAATTTATAAAACTAGGCTCTAATAAAAAAAATAGGTTAAATTTTCGAATCAATACAAGGTGCATTATAAAAAATGTTTAATTTAGGAAGGAGTTTTTAGAGTCTGAATTAAAATGTGGCTAAGGTTGACTTGCACAGTTCACATCTTGCAATAATATGATATGAACTGTGCAATAATACTAATACTTATAGATATAAATGCAATAATACTAATATATACACCCAACAACCTCAATCTTGAAAATAAACATTTCCCAGCATGCTATAAGGGAAGGCAGGAACATTGGTCTCTCCCTTAAAAATTCTACAACAGGTAGAAATGAGGCCAAGAATGAGGCCAAACAAGGCTACAAATGTGTGTCATGAACATGTCAGCTGGTACTTATAATAGTCCTGGCTTTCTTGGTCTTAGATGTATTGGTTTCAAGAACACAGTATCCAGTAGTTATGGGGCTATGCAGAGACTGAGAAAGAGACTGTAAGAATTTTGTAGAGACTGGAGATATCAGCCCTGGGTCCAGTTCTGGCACGTCTGTACACTTGTCTAACCCTTCAGATTAAGTTCTCCATGGATAGAAACCTTTTCTGGGTCTTTAAGGTTGAGAGTGGATCAGAGGCATTAAAATCAGTTTATAGCAGAAGTTATATTGTTAAATATATATTTTAACTCCTCTACTAAATCTTGATAGGTAGAACGAACATTTCTTTAGTGATTACTATAGGTCAGGGACTCTATGAACCTTCATTTGTAAGATAGTTTTTAACTTTTTCTTATGAAAATTTTCGTAATTATATAAAAGCAGAGAGCAAAACAAGCTCCCATGTACCCTTCACCCAGATTAACTCCTGTCAAGTCAGTCCATCTGTATCTCATCTCTACCTTTTTCACTCGAGTATTTTAAGGCAACTTTCAGGCCTCATGTGTTTTTAGCCCAGATGCTTCAGAGAGCATCTAAACACACATACACACACATGTTTTCCTCTTCCATAATCACAATGTCACTTATAAGATAATCTTAACCCCCATTTATTGGTGAAAAATGTAATCTCCGTGAGGTCATCAGCTTGTCCAAAGGTCACAGGACAAATAAGTGAGACAGTCAGGCCCTATTTTAAGCTGTAAACTGTCAAGTTCTTTCACTGGAGCAAGCTGTTTCCCACTGTTCAATCACTGCATCAGTGTATAAATGTTTGTCCCAAAGGAGAAACATGCTTAGATGTAGGCTAAAACTGGAACAGTCCATCTCCTACACATTAATTTTTCAGCTGCCTCTAAACAAACACAGGTACATGAAGTGTTTCCTTTATGATATAGATCAAACTGTATTTACATATTATGCTTAAAAAATTTTGTATAAATACAAATATATCACATATTTGCTACTAATTTCCACTATAATTTCATGAGGTACATTTTACGTATTGAGATCTCTAAATGTAAAATGTGCACAGTACTTGATACTAATTTAAGGCTTTTTCTTTAAACAATTTATATAAATGTAGTTCTCTCACTAATCCCCATTAGAAGTCAATCAAAGGAAGAGTCAGTGATTTAACTGCATTTTCAGTGAAAGTCCATGTATATTATATCACAATCTTTGGGCATTTTCTGTGAGACCAGAATATTCTAAAAATAAGTCTAGTTACACCATTGCAAGAGGCAGGAAGTTATACAAAGTGCATTTTCCTAGAGGGTCATCCTTACTTAGTGGTAGTAATTTTATATTTTTAAAAATGTATGTTCCTTATGCAGTACAATATAAAATTTACAGGAATTTAAAAACTAAAGCCAAACACTTACAACAAAATTCTTGAAATAGGCTGGTTTTAGGGCTGTGGTTTGAGTGGGTTTTTTTTTTTTTTTCCTGCTCTGAAAAATATTTTGGAGGAAAATTTTGAGAAGGGCTGTTAACTGAAGAGTTAGATGACAAAGAGGAAGAAGTATAAAACAGGACAATGACAGTTAGGAGGAAGACAGAGATAAGAGGCATTAGACACAGAAAGGGGCAAATCTGGGCTGGAATAGGAGTAGTAAGAAAGGAAAACATCCAAGAGGTTTCTACCTGGCTGATCGGGACGCACAGTGAGTGAAGTCAAAGTCGCTCAGTCATGTCCGACTCTGTGAGCCCATGGAATTCTCCAGGCCAGAATCCTGGAGTGGGTAGCCTATCCCTTACCCAGTGGATCTTCCTGACCCAGGAACTGAACCGGGGTCTCCTGCACTGCAAGCAGACTCTTTACCAGCTAAGCTATCAGGGACATAGAGAGCCATTAACTATGAACAAAGCAGAAGAAAGTGAAATCATTGGCTGGCTGTGGGGAGAAACTATGGTTTAGGGCTTGAGAAGAGTGGGAAAACAAAAAAACCCTGAGTGGGATAACATGATAGGGATCAATTTGAGGTCAATTAGAAAACAATAATTGAGCCACAGTGGGAATTTAGCTAAGGTTAGAAAAGGAACTCACAGCAGACTATCTGCTGTTACATGGCCAGTAGCAGGAATACACCAGGGCATAGGGAAGAAAAATAGCTTATTTTTTCCAAGGTTGGAAAGTTAAGAGGATTGAAATAAGTGTTTCTATGACATGGTTAACCTTTTTAGGGACTGAGATTTTAGGAGTTCTGGGTGACACAGGGTCGTTATATTGGAGTGAAACTACCCCCTTTAAAGAAAAGATCCTGAAACTTCAAGTTCTGTTCTGAAAATTGTTATGAGGCTTCATTGAGACTTAAGTACCTAATAGTTAAATAGCCATTAAAAGATTTATTAGACACTCTCTTTAACTGACCCCAGGGATGTCCTTCAATTTCACTCAACATCTGCAGTTTCTTTGAACATTTTTTTGCTCTCCAAAATGCTGATATGTATAAAAGATGTATGAATTAAAGTGATATTTTAATTCACTAAGTATCTGAAGGAAGGTGCACTAAGAAAATATCTTCAATGGGAAGCAGGTTTCTAATGGTGCTTTGTAACCACAGTGGTGCATGCCACTGTGCATTCTGGAGACAAACAGCCCTCAACAACAACAACAAAAACCAATCTTAATACATACAGGGATAAACTAAGACAACATAGCTTACCTCTAATTTCTGGTTCAAACTGTTCAGTTCAAAGGGCATTTCTTCTTCGAGGTGTGGTACTTCTTTTTGTCGAAATTTGCTTTGTTTTATCTGGTGTAATCTCAGTTTTTCAAAGCTATTAGTTAGTGTGGAAAACTGTAAATAATAGAGAATGCTAATATTTTATTATTGGTTATTTATAACTTGATTTCATGATAGTTCTCTTGCATACCTCTTTCAAAATTTAAGTCATGATTAGGAAATGCAGTAAAGCTTAAATGTTCCAATTAGTGAAGCTAGAACCAGTTATTAAAACTAAATTGTTGAAGCTGAACACAATTCAGCTTTCAAGCAAATGTGGAACTTCATTGACTGCACAGTTTAACAACAATTCACTTGATAAAATGTTTTGTTCAGTTTTATCTTAACCATACATAGAAAAGCTCACAATTTAAAACAACCAAGTTTTTTTCTTACTTTTATTTAGTGCCATCTTGTGTTGACAATTTTAATTTCAATAACTCAATCTATAAAATGACCAACTTACACTTCTTTTAAGGAAACAGAGGACTTAACATAAAAAATACAAACACACTTATGTAAGTTAAAATAAAATTAAATATAAAGCTTGATATAATCTTTCTCTTATCAGTAATTCTTGTTATAACTTAAGACTGTAATTTCTCTTGTTCTACCTTCAAATAATAGATTAAAAGCCTCATGGTCTATCAACATTTGTTAGGAAATTTCTAAATAACTGTTTACAAAACTTTTCTTTTTTCTTTTGAAATAATTATAGATTCACAAGAAGCTGCAAAGGTATTACAGAGAGATTCTGGGTTCTCTCCACCCAGTTTCCCCCAATATTTACATCTTAGTGAATTTTGTACAGTATCTAACTCAGGAAATTGACGTCAGTACAATATGCGATCAATGTAACAATAGTTCACTCCTTTTTATTGCTCAGTATTATACCATGGCATAGACGTAAACACAGTTTGTTTGACCATTCACATATTGAGATATTTTTGGTTGTTTCCAGTTTTTGACTATTACAAAGAAAGCTATGAACAATTGTGTCTATTTTATATCTGATAGTAATGTAGTCATTTCTGCTTCCTTTTTCTTTCTCAAATAGTTTTAAAAATTGAGATATAGTTCACCTACCATAAAATTTAGAGTATTACTTCATTAGTTTTTAGTATATTCAGTTGGATAATCATCACATTATCTAATTTCAGAATACTTTCATCATCTCCAAAAGAAACCCTGTATCTATTAACAGTGACTACACATTTTCTCCTTCCTCAAGGCCCTAGCAACACTAATCTCTGTTTCTATGAATTTACCTATTCTGATCATTTCATATTAATGGAATCATACAATATGCAACCTTTTGTGTCTGGTTTCTTTTACGCAGCATAATGCTTTTAAGGTTCATCCATGTTGTAGCATGGGTCAATATTGCGTTCCTTTTAATGGCTGAATAATACTTCATTGTGTGGATATACCATATTTTGTTTATTCATTCATCAACTGATGGACATGTGGATTGTTTCCACTTTTTCAATATTATGGGGAAATGCTGCTATGAACATTTGTGTAGAAGATTTTGTGTGGATATAGCTTTTTCTCTTGGTTATATATAGCTAGGAGTAGGATAGCTGAAACTAGAAACTGAAATGTAGAAACTGTAAGTTTAATTTTTTAATGAACTGCCAAACAGTTTTCCAAATTGGCTGTACCATTTTCCACTTTTCAGTGGTAATGTACAGGGCTCCAATTTCTCCATATCCTTACCAATGCCTGCTTTTATCCATCATTTGATTATAGCAATTAGCAGGTGTGAAGGGATATCTCATTATGGTTTTGATTTGCATTTCCCTAAGGAGATGGCTGGATGGCATCACCGACTCGATGGGCATGAGTTGGAGTAGACTCCGGGGGTTTGTGATGGACAGGGAGGCCTAGCGTGCTGCGATTCATGGGGTCACAAAGAGTCGGACACGACTGAGAGACTGAACTGAACTGAACTGAATGACTAATGGCATTGGGCACTTTTTCACATGCTTATTTGGCCATTTATATATCTCCTTTGGAGAAATGCCTATTTATATCTATGCCCATTTTAAAATTTGATCATTTGTCTTTTTACTATTGACTACTAAGAGGTTTTTTTTAAAATTCTGGATATGAATACCTTATTAAATATATGATTTTCAAATGTTTTCTCCCACTTTGTGAGCTTTTTTTTTTTTGGTGTGCTCTGAAGCACAAAGGTTGTTAAAATTTTGATGAAATCAAGTTTATCTAGTTTTCTTGCACTTTTGGTACCAAATCTAAGAAACTGTTGCCTAGTCCAAAACCATGAGGATTTACTCCTGTTTTCTTCTAAAGAGTTTTACAGATCTAGTTTTTACATTTAGGTCTTTGATTCATTTTGTGTTATTTTTTGTCTATGGTTTAGGTAAGGGTCCAATCTAGTTCTTTTTCGTGTGGATATCCAATTGTCCTGTCACTGTTTGTTGAAAAGACTATTCCTTTTCCACTGAATTATTTTTGCACCACTTCTGCTTTCTTTTGATTAGTATTTGCAGGGTATATTTTTTCTATTTTTTTCTATCTTTTTCCTTTCAACTTACATATGTAGTTATATTTGAAGTGAGTTTCTGGAACAAAGCATACAGTTGGGTCATATAATTTTTATTTACTCTGCAAATCTCTTTGAACTACTATATTTAGACCATTTTCATTTAATGTAAGTATTGTTATATTAGTGTTTAAGCCTGACTTTGTTTCATGCTTGTTGCCTAGTTTTTGGTTTATCTGTTTTAGTTTTCCTGTCTTTCTCTGCATTCTTTGAACATTTTTTAGAATGCCATTTTAATGTATCTATAGTATTTTTGAATGTATTTATTTGTTTAGCTTTTTTAGTTATTTCTCTAGGTATAATATTATACATACATAGCTTATTACAGTCTACTGGTGTTGACATTTTACCAGTTCAAGTGAAGTTTAGAATCTTAGTTCTCTTTGCTATGACCCATTTCTGACGTTATTATCTTAATTATTTTCTCAGTATACATTAAGAACCACTTTAGCTATTATTATAATTTTTGCTTCAGTTGTCAAAAATTTAGAAAACTCAAGAGAAGTAAAATCTACTGCATTTATCCATGCTTTCACTTTTCCAATTTTTTCTTATCATTTCCTTCTTACCAAGGAGAAATTCCTTTAGCTATTCTTTTAGGGTAGATCTATTGGTAATGAAACTTCTTTGTTGTTGTCCAGTCGCTGTCATATCCGACTCTTTAGGACTCCATGAACTGCAGAACGCCAGGCTTCCCTGTCCTTCACTATCTCCTTGAGTTTGTTCAAATTTATGTCCATTGAGTCGGTGAGCCATCCAACCATCTCTTCCTCTGTCGTCCCCTTCTCCTCTTGCCCTCAATCTTTCCCATCATCAGCGTCTTCCCCAAAGAGTCAGCTCTTTGCATCAGGTGGCCAAAGTATTGGAGCTTCAGCTTCAACATCAGTCCTTCCAATGAATATTCAGGACTGATTTCCTTGAGGATTGAATGGTTGGATCTCCTTGCAGTCCATGGGACTCTCAAGTCTTTTCCAACACCATGGTTCAAAAGCATCAATTCTTCCACACTCAGCTTTCTTTGTAAGTCCAACTCTCACATCCATACGTGACCACTGGAAAAACCATAGCCTTGACTAGGCGGACCTTGGTTGGCAAAGTAATGTCTCTGCTTTTAATATGCTGTCCAGGCTGTCTTGGTTGCTTTTTAATATGCTGTCAGATTGGGTAATTTCTATTGTGCTGTGTTCAAGTTCACTCATTATGTATGTCTTCTATCCTCTCTATTCTGCTTTTGAACCCATCTATTGAAATTTTTTAGTTTGGTTATTGTATTTTTAAGTTATAAAATTTCTAGCTGCTTGTTCTTTATCGTTTTCTTTGCTAAAACATTCTAATTTAATTTGTTTCAAGCATGTTTGTAATGGCTCATGGAAGCATTTTTATAACAGTTACTTTAAACTCCTTTTCAGATAATTCTAACATCTGTATCAACTCAGTGTTGGTGCCTCTTAAATGACTTTTCTCATTCAAGTTGAGATCTTCCTTGTTTTTGCTATGATGCGTGATTTTTTAAAAATTGAAACCATTTTGGGGTATTGTTATGTGACTCCAGATTTTGTAGCAATACTGTGTTTTAGCAGTCCTCTTCTGACAGCGCTCCAGCAGGGAAGATGGAATGGTGCCTCACTGCGGCCTCGTGGGAGTGAGAGTCCAGGTCTTGGCCTCAGCCGGTCACTGGGGGGAGGTAGGTGTTCCTTGTTACTGCTGAGTGGGAGCGGGAGCTCAGGACCCGCACACTTTCACTGGCACACGTTGACCGAAGGGGCACAGATGCCTCATGACTGCTTCTCGCGTGGCCTTCAGCGGGACTGTGGTGAGGGAAGGAGCCCTGTTAGCACAGAGGCGGGAACGTCCAGACCCTTGTTAGGCCCCCCAGACGCCGCTGCACCACCGCCAGAGGCGCAGAGGAGCCCAGGTTCTCCTACGGTCACCCTGACACCACGGACTGCGTTTCCACTGTCTGCTCTGACTCCCCGAGGCTGTGGCCTGGAGTACCTCAGCAGAGGAGGCGAGGGTGGAGCCGAGGCTGTCTACTCCGTCTCTGCTGGTGAAGTGGGTTTGCAGCTATAGTCCTTTTCTGTGCCCTTTGGCTAGAGCCATGCAGTTATTATCAAAAAGCTTTTAATCTCGGTAGGCTGTCTTTCTTCGGGTCTTTCAGTTGCAAGGAGGAGGCTTTCTTCCTCTTTTGCTTTGTTTGTGCCCACTGGAGAGTCTGGCCTGCTGGCTTCTCTGTTATCCAGTCTATGATATGAGAGGCAAAAAGAAATTCCAGGAACTCAACACCATGTTTTGCCTTGGGTCCCAAGGTCCTAGTTGGTCTGTCTTTCCTCTCCACTTCTCAGTCTTATGTTGTTTTATAATAATGTCCAGGATTTCTAGTTGCATTTAGCAGGAGGAATAGGGGAAAGTACATTGACTCCACCTTTCCAGAAGAATAAATCTCAAATGCATATAATGTATATAAAGTTATAGTTTTATAATTTTAGAAGGAAAAGAAAATATACCATTTTAAAAAAGGAAGCAATTTCAAAAGAAAGTTTTGTCAGAGTTTTTTAAGGCAGAATGTGGTATAACGTATCCTTATGGTATTTTAGGAAAATAAGGTTGTAAATAAATGAAGAATTTCAAAGAAGGGAGCAGTAGAGTGAACTAGCAGCAACAAAAGCATGTTTGCCACAAGGTATCATTTTCTGCTTAGAAAAAAATGACATATTACTAGCTATTACACAAACTGAGGCAAATCCACAGCACTTTTCTCTTCCTTTTACCCCTTCTTTCCTCTTCCTTCTCTTCTGCTTTTCCTCCCTCTCCCCCTTCCTTTCTTTTAGCCACAGGAGAAAAGAAATGCGGAAAACTGCAGTGGAAGCAGATGGCCGTTCTCTCAACCAGTGTGGTGTTCCCAAAGTGTCTCCTATGAAACACCTCTTCATGGCGTTTACACTGCAGCTGTGCTACAGCCTTTACTGGTTTTAGCATAAAAAACAAAAGGGTTCCATGGTCAAATGTGTCTGAAAACTGGGGGATTAAAAAGGCTAGATGGATGTTTTCAGAGCAGGGCCTCTCGCAGCCTATAGCACGCTCCTACGTACTGTGAGTGTCCGGCGGCAAAGGCGCACACAGCCCTTCCTGAGCTCCCAGGGCTGGCGCACGCAGCCAGTTTCTGTGAAAGCTGCTGTAAAGAGAGTTGTTGGCTAGCTGGCAGCCAAGTGATAAAACAGATGCAAAGCATCAGATGGTCAGGATTCATACAGTGAACGACCACTCAGTGTCTGTAACCAAGCCCAACACTTTTTAACAATAGACATAAAAAAAAACCCCAGAAATTATAGATTTGGTAAGCTGTGACTGAACTAGTTAAATGTAATTTACAGATGGTACTTAACTTGTATCTAGATCTCTGTATTTTTTTTCAGACTTATTCTAGATCATGTTCTCTGTTTACACTGAATTATTATAGTGATTCAATATTTATGTTGCTATATTAGAGCTTCATCTTTATATTAATAGAAAAAACAAGGTTGTCTGACTTAAGTGTTAAATGCTTCAAATCTTAGCTAGGAAAATGAACATATAAAGTTTCATAATTCAAGTTACCATCTAGCAGAAGCTATTTAAATTGAAGGCAAAATATCTAGATAGACTTAAGAGCTAGTCTTGTAAGATAATACCCATTAAGTGCATCAAATGCTTCATAATCCTATCATAATGGCTGATCACCTCCCTAAAAAGGTATGTTAGGAGGAGCTTTAACTACTTTGGGCTCCCTTAACCATATTACCATTTGTGAAATCTCTGCACTTCAATAAAAGTTGGTTGTAAAGTAAAATTCATAATCAAACCATTTTCCCCATTGATTAATTTACTAAGTGAAGCAAGGATGGAGTTAGTACCTACTAGACCTGAGATGCTGAGATGCTTATTGCCCTGTGTGTCATCTGTGTGAAGAAAGAAACTTTTTGCTTGTCAGCACAGTGGGGAGTATGACATAGGGATAAATCAGAAAGAAATCCCTCTCACCATATAAGCAGAAGCCCTCTCATTTACGAAACACCTATGAGTAACAAAGCAATAAAGATCAGTTTTGTTCTTTCAATGATCTCTTTTATAATAGTGAAAGTCATTCAATCATGTCCAACTCTTCACAGCCCACGGACTGCAGCCTGCCAGGCTCCTCTCTCCATGGAATTCTTCAGGCAAGGATACTGGAGTGGGGTGCCCTTTCCTACTCCAGGGGATCTTCCTGACCTCCATATTTTAAACTGCCATAGAAGAAGGACACCCCTATTAGGGAGCAGTGACTAATAAGTTGATATTTTGTTGTTGTTTTTCACATAGCTAATTATCATAATGTAATCAGTTAGTCACTTGATTAATAGAAAGCCATTAGTCTGGCACTGTGCTAACAGGGATAGAGAGCTGACAATCTAACACAAGAGACAAAAACAATACTCAGAAAACAACGAAAGACAGGACTAAACATATAACCTATACTTAAAATACAACAACTTTTACTTATATTAAAATACTTAATTTTAGCAAAATTAACACAATATTATAGGTCTAAACATATATCAAAACATGATACTAAATTGTAATGAGTTTCTTTACTTGAGCTTTCAGGGTTTGTAGTTGTCCTTCGTAATTTTGAGTTGTTGCTAAGTTACGTTTTTCCAAACTGTCCAACTTCTGTCGAAGTAACCCCACCTGCATTAAGAATAAAATTTAATTTTAATTTTTCTAAATTTTGCCTGACAAAATCAGAAAATGTACAAAAGAGGAGTACAATTCAAATAAAACCACTATACCAAACCAAGAATAAATATTTGTACTGTGGTTCTTAGAATAGTCATTAATAATTAAATTCACAAAAAACAGATGTGGCTAGGGCTATTCCACTGGGTACACATTAGGACAGTATGGCCTGGATGTTGAGCCTTCTCACTGGCGCATTAAAGCAAGATTTAAAATTTACTTCGCATTATGTTTTTGGGAGACTTATGTCATCACTCTTGGGGCAGAACCCCTGCCAACACATTTCAGCCTTTATTTCAGGCTCTGCTGCCTTCAGTGGGACTCTGTTTTAGTGGTGTTATGGAATAATTGTTACCTTCTTTTTTTTTTAATAAAAACTAACAACTTGAAAAGAAAAATAGGACTTCCCTAGTGGTACGGTGGGTAAGAATCCACCAGACAATGCAGGGAACATGGTTCGACTCCTGGTCCGGAAAAATTCCATGTGCCTCAGAGCAAGTAAACCCCTGCGCCACAACTACCGAGCCCATGCTTGAGACCCCGGGCTTTGCAAGTGCAGAGGCTCATGCTGCAGTTACTGACGCCCGTGGGCCTAGGGGCTGTGCCCTGCAACAGGAGCAGACACCGCAATGAGCAACTGCAGAGCCTCATGCTGCAGTTACTGATGCCCGTGGGCCCAGGGGCTGTGTCCTGCAACAGGAGCAGACACCGCAATGAGAAGCCGGTGCAGCCAAGAGTTAGCCCCTGCTCGCCACAGCTAGAAAAAGCCCAGGAACAGCAAAGAAGACCCAGCAGAGTAAAATATAAAAAAAGAAAAAATGTGTAAGAGGAGTTCATAGGGATTTGGCTTACAGAATTTGTCTGCTTAAACAGCACATGAGCCTTCTGTTTGCACATATGGGTTGTGACAGGACCAAAAGTTAGAAAGTAGCCCTTGCATGTGCAATCTCATGACCTGCCCCTACTGATAACTATGTTAACTTGGCCAAACAGTAACAGAGTTAACCAAGACAAAAACTTAAGTTCCGTTGAGAGTCCATCAGAGGTAGAAAAACAACTGTGGAACAAGTTGACTGTTGATGTTTTAGTTATTAGCATATGATCAGTAAACATGTCTTATGCCTCATCCCAAAGAAAATTCACAGACATGAAAGTCCACGTCAGGTGAAGCGTATGACTTTGCTGAACTCCGCAGCAGGCCCGCGAGCACTCGGACACCCCTCCAGCTTCACCAGCTTGGCCGCAAGCAGCCCCTGCAGGCCCAGGACGCTCCTCCTAAGTGGTGCACGTGCTCGGTCACTCAGCCAGGTCTGACTCTTGGCAACTCTACGGACTGTATGTAGCCCGCCAGGCTCCTCCATCCACGTGATTCTCCAGGCAAGAATACTGGAGTGGGGTGCCAATTTCTATTCCAGGGGATCTTCCCAACCCAGGGATCAAACCTGCGTCTCTTGTGTCTCTTGCTTTGGCAGGCAGATTCTTTATCACTGAGCCATGTGGGCACCTAGGTATACATATGCCCCCTTCACTGAACTCTTTTCTCTCTTGACCTACAATCAAGGTCTTTATCTTTCACTTCTTCTAGGAAAGACTCTCCTAGCAGATGAGAAAAGGCAAATGCTCTTGACCTCTGCCTGCTCCAAAGGCACACCTCTCATGGCTACTTTGTTTCAGTGGCAGCAAAAGCACTGACATCCTTGCTTGAAAACAGTATTTCACATACATGTCAAATATTTACTTTCCTAGATGGCATCGACTGGACTCTGTCTGTCTGCATTGGCAAATTTCTATAGGTTTAGGCTCTGCTTGACACTTATTTGATAGAACATATACATTTAGCACATTGTGACAGAAATTCAGGGCATTTCAAGCTATTGCTGATGCTTATACAAAGTATGTGTGATGAAAAACATATTCTGATGGAACTAGCACTATTTATAACAGTCTGAGGAATGAACAATTTATTAACACAGCTATGCAGTACCTCTTGACCTTTCTGTTCCAGACACGTCTGTGCATTTGCCAACGCTTGATCCCGAAGATCTAGTCGTGTCTCCAGAGCCCGCATCTTCCTTTCCCAATCCAATTTTTTGTTGTTTACCATGATGTCAATTTGTTCCATTAATTCCTGAAGCTCAGCCTCACAAGGAGAAGCTCTGGCAATTGTAGAAGAGTGAAATGCATTTTAAAAGACTGAAATGTGAGAACAAGAAAACTTATGATTTTGTTTTGAATATCTTGATCATTATTTTCTCAAAATTTTCAATTATTTAAATGGGAAGAATTCTGAAAACTAGAGGCTAACATTTTAAATTAAAACTAAAAGCTAATTTCAGAGCTAACAGAGTACATACTTTTCAGTGGCATTTTAAAAAGTACAGCTGTGCCATAATATAATCTAATATATTGATAAAGTTAATATATTGATACAGTTATAATCTACATTTCTCTTCCTACATATTGTGTGGATTACATCAGAAATAAGGCCACCATAAATAAAGTTAATTTAAAAATAATAAATTTTAGAGTGGGTTAATTCGAGCAAAATTCTAATTATAACAAATAATCCCAGGGACTTCACTCGTGGTCCAGGAGTTAAGAATCCACCTTGCAATGCAGGGGATGCGAGTTCGATCCCTGGTCTGGGAACTAAGATCTCACATACAGCAGGGCTACTAAGCCCACGAATCACAAGTACTGAGACCTCATGCTGCAACTAAGACCTAATGCAGCCAAAAACAAATACATACATAAATATTTAAAACATAATTCCACCCTCTTACATGTAAATATACATATGCCGATGTGCTTATCATAACCTGAGGAGGTTTGATGGCAGGCTAAAAAATAATTCCATCCTCTTACATGAAAATATACATATACCGGTGTGCTGATCATAACCTGAGGAGGTTTGATGGCAGGTAACTGGGCCTCACAGGGCCTGCCAGGGCCAGAGGAACAGACCCAGGCAAGGAAGGACCAGTTCCACAGGCACCTGGGCTACAATGCTGCTCCTTCAGGACAGAAGCCTGATGCCATCTGGCTGGTGGTGTCTGCTGGAAGAAAGCTGATTGGGCAGGTGTGGACAGAGGAACGCAAGATTTTAGACAGTGCAGATATTATTGGTCAGAAAAGTAGCAATAGCTGGTCCTAGGAAGGTCTACGGTGTTTGAAACAGGACCCTTGGTGTGAACTAGCATTATGGAGACTGAGAGTTGCTGAGGTTGTAAGTGCTCTCAGGGCAGGATTCTCCTTCAGAGAAGCCACAGCACTCCCCAAGGACCTGATGTCAGTTCACTCATTCAGTCCAGATAAGCAGGCAGACACGAGGTCTCAGGCTTCAGCTTAAGACACGCACAAATGTTCAGGTTAGAGAAGCAAGTTGCTTCACTACCCATCTGTTCAGTGGTGATGGGGCTTCTGGTGTATTTGTGTAGCTGGGAGTAAGGCAGGAGAGGCAAGTGTAAAATGACATCATTTCCTCCATTTAGTCTCACTGAATAAGAATTTTAGGATCATTTAGCATTTTACAAAAACTGAAGCCCAGACACATTGAGGTCACAAATTGATTAATGGAAGAGCCAGAACTAGACCCTAGACAGCTGCTTCTAAATTAAGTGCCTTCCTGTATCCACAGCAAAAGACAGGGTGCTTTTCTTCTTCCTCTCTCTGTTCAGTTACGGCTTTGTTTGTAATGTAACATGCAGAGTTGACAATCTTCATGTTCTCTAGTAAAGTGTTGAGGACAGTGGTAATAGGGGACACTGGCCGCGGAGCTGGTGGACTTACTGTGACTATTGCAGTTACTGCACACTCTACATTAGTACCATCTTCACGTTTTGAATAAGAACTTCCTTGAAAAATGTAGTACAAATGACCTCTGTTGTGATAAGGTTCAAAATAGATACATGAACTCAAAGGACTCAGAACTTCTAGAATCCCTTTCTAAAATACCCAGAGTCAACCTGAACAAGGGATGTCCCTTTGACTTTGACTGGCTTATTCAACAGCCTTCTCTCCAGTTGTGACACCAGAGTGATTTTAAGTACAAAAATGCATCCTGAAGTCTTCCAGTATTCCTGGGATAAGGCCCAAAGGCTCTCAGTTTTTACTTAAAACCTAAAACCTGTCTGAGGAGAGGAATTACTAATTCCTCTATGAATAACCTGACTGGATTTTAATTGGAATTCTGATGTGGGGAGAAACAATAGAACAAAAAGAATGGTTTTCACACCATTTTTTTTTGGTAGCAACATGTATCCCCTTTACTGTAGACACAATTTATTTTTTCTGCTGGTGTAAACTCTGAAAGGAAAAGGACTCTGTCAGTCTTGCTCATCACCATCTCACCAAGACTGAGCACAGTGCCTCAGCACATGGCAGATGCTCAGTGAATCTTTGTATCAACAAACAAGTGTTTTCCATTACTATCTCCCTGGCATTTAGGAGGGAGCCACGCCTATGGAATTACAACATAGGCCTAAAGACCGTGGCATTACTATGAGGTGCTCAACCAATATTGTTAAATAAATGAATGAAAGATTTATTTCCTGCCTATGACTATGTTATACAAAAGTAAGAATATTAGACTTCAGGGTGGGAGGACTTTTACAAGTCATCTAGTTCAACTACCCACTCGGTGTTTGCATACCTTGCACAGATTGGAGAGAATAATCTATCACACCCGCACTGATCAGATTCAGCAAATCTAGGACAGACACCAGGTTCTGCATTGGTAACAAAGGTATCAAGTACATGCCATTTGGTGTTGCTTAGCCGCTAAGTCGTGTCCGACTCTGGTGACCCCTTGGACTGTAGCTCATCAGGCTCCTTTGTCCATGGGATTTCCCAGGCAAGAATACTGGAGTGGGTTGTTATTTCCTTCTTTATGGGATCTTCCCCACCCAGGGATCAGACCCTGTCACCCTCATTGCAGGAGGTCTCCTGCATTGCAGGTGGATTTGTTAACAGTAAGCCACCAGGGAAACCCCCTAAGTATCAATATTTGCTCCTAAATCTAGTGAACTTTAAAATAAAAGACAAAAGACTTAGTTTAGCCTCCTTCATTATCTGGACACTAACATTATTTATATTTTCTTTCTTTATTTAGCTAAATACTAATACTATGCTAATTACTCCGCTGTACTTCCTCTTATGAATCCTCACAATATCCCATAAAGCAGATCTTATTCTAACTTTATAAAAGTTGATTGAGGAGCTGAAGGAGAAAAAAAAAAACATTTCTCTAAGCCTTTCAGCACTGGAGACTGGGTGGACAGTGTCTAATACACTACGTAAGACAGGTAAACCCTGGCCCTAACTATTGGGTTTATCCGTGGAAGCAATTCACAAGTGCAAACTGGAGACTGGGTGGACTGTGTCTAATACACTACGTAAGACAGGTAAACCCTGGCCCTAACTATTGGGTTTATCTGTGGAAGCAATTCACAAGTGCAAGATTCTGAGAAAGGCTAGAGGTCTAAATGCATTAAGCCAGAAAGGAAAGGGCACACTGAGGCTTGTAAAGTAACATACCAGTCTGAGGATCCTAGAGTTAAAAACATCAGGACATCATTACTTGGAGATGGAGAGCAAAGTAGAAAACTGATGCTATAAAAGGAGGCAGGAGGGGCAAGTGTGTCGGGAGGAATGGCAGGGGGATGGATGTGGAGAAAGGCACTCAGGGAAACAGGAGCTGGGTAAGACCCATGACATGCTTGTCACGCCAAAGTCCTTTACCAGAGGCTGAGGGGCTGCTGTTTAAAAGGCAGAACCTAATCAGATAGACAGCTATGGTGACATACGATCTGTTTATTAACCCAGGATAATTTTAAAAGTGAAAAGGTAAATATTAATTATTATTTCAGGACAACAGATACAAACAGTGACAGTTCTAGGCAAACTGAAATATAGGGTCAGTCCATCCATCAACAACTGGGAAAACAGAAGTGGGTATCAGGTTGTTTATTTAAAAAAAGAGTGAGCTTAGTTCAGGACATGAGAGATGTCTGACAGAAATGGATCTTTAGTTTGGGAGAGAGAAGAGGGGATTTGGCTTAAAAGACAAATATAGAAGTCATCATGGAGAAAGGGGAGAGGGGAAAGGAAGCATGGAGAAAGAATAAAGAGGAGACTGCTTCATGCATCGTGGATGAGCCTAAGAAAATGAGTTTCCAAAAAACTGATGAGCAATCTTATCAGGTTTTAACTTTTCCAAAATGTTTCAATAAAACTCATTTTTAAAATGTATTAACATATTATTTGCTTTAGGTATATTACTATTATTTAGCTGTACTCACTGGAAAAGGTCAGTTTTCATTCCAATCCCAAAGAAAGGTAATGCCAAAGAATGCTCAAACTACTGCACAATTGCACTCATCTCACATGCTAGCAAAGTAATGCTCAAATTCTCCAAGCCAGGCTTCAGCAATACATGAACCCTGAACTTCCAGGTGTTCAAGCTGGTTTTAGAAAAGGCAGAGGAACCAGAGATCAAATTGCCAACATCCAATGGATCATCAAAAAAGCAAGAGAGTTCCAGAAAAACATCTATTTCTGCTTCATTGACTATGCCAAAGCCTTTGACTGTGTGGATCACAATAAACTGTGGAAAATTCTGAAAGAGATGGGAATACCAGACCACCTGACCTGCCTATTGAGAAACCTAAATGCAGGTCAGGAAGAAACAGTTAGAACTGGACATGGAACAACAGACTGGTTCCAAGTAGGAAAAGGAGTATGTCAAGGCTGTATATTGTCACCCTGCTTATTTAACATATATGCAAAGCACATCATGAGAAACGCTGGGCTGGAAGAAACACAAGCTGGAATCAAGATTGCTGGGAGAAATATCAATAACCTCAGATATGCAGATGACACCACCCTTATGGCAGGAAGTGAAGAGGAACTAAAAAGGCTCTTGATGAAAGTGAAAGAGGAGAGTGAAAAGTTGGCTTAAAGCTCAACATTCAGAAAACTAAGATCACTGCATCTGGTCCCATCACTTCATGGGACATAGATGGAGAAACAGTGGAAACAGTGTCACACTTTATTTTTTGGGCTCCAAAATCACTGCAGATGGTGATTGCAGCCATGATATTAAAAGATGCTTACTCCTTGGAAGGAAAGTTATGACCAACCTAGACAGCATATTAAA